GGACAAGGTGATAGGAGGTGGAAAAGGGATGTGGTACAGAGTATATTTAGAAAGGACCACACCATTTTGCAAAGTTTTTCATTAACTTGTTTTTATAAATTTTTGCTCTTTCCACCCTCATAACAGATTTTGCATATAGGTCTCAGGCTGGAGACTCTCTTCCTTCCTTACAACCAGGTGTCAGAGATAGCCTGACAGCAAGCATGCACTATGGAGTGCCCATCAGTCATTTGTATAGAACCTAAAGCTTCCTCTAAAATATCTGAGAAGGGACCTTCACTCTGCCTTGTGGTCATAATATTTGTCTAGAGTTCTTACCATGTTGCTGTCTGCTTGTCTGCCTATGGCATTAGCAACTTTTCTAATATATATTATATGAAAAGGACAGATACCTTGGATCCATGACATGAAATCTTTCAATATAATAAAGAAATTACTTTCAAAGTACCAAGTTAAATTATATATTTGAATGAAAATATCTCTATAAAATTTATTACTATCTATAATGTATATGTGTAAATTTTGGGGAATTAGTAAGAGGCTATGGGTGACATTTAAAGGGAAGGGATATATAGCCCATTGATTTGAAATTGTTTAAAAATAGTAAGGGAGTTTATGTGTGTGGTATAAGTATGGGGGGAGAGGAAAGGGCAGGAAAAAGAAGAGAAAATATATAGGGATAACTAACAGTGAAGACCCTTCAAAAATGACATTAGGAAATCTACTTTTGTAGATGCTTTCTAAAATGTATATGTGCACATATTTAAAGAGATTTAAAATGGAGTTACTCTATAAATGGGTGATCATTCTCTTACTAGACATCACTGGTTAACATAAAAAAATGAACAGTTAAAAAACTGCATTGTCCTTTTTAGAAGTGTTTGCCAGTGTGGTCTTACAAACCCCCAAACATTATATTGTGGTCAGTTCCCCTGTTCTCATCCTAGAACTTAATGGTAAGACCTTTTTGTTGAAGACACTGCATACTTGAGTCCTAGAACACTAGTAGATCAAGCTGGTACTTGCTTGGGGGTCTCTATCTCTACTGGCTAGCTTTCACAGTGGTGGAAGTTGCTAAATACACTGCTGGATTCTGTCATCTGCATGGCTTCAGGTATTGACTTACGCTGAGCAGTGAAAGAAGAAAGGACAGACACATGTATAGAAAAGCTGAGATCGGGTAAGCTATGCTAACTCTGATGAAAGGTACTAAGGGCAGCCCAGAAACTCATTGTGTTTATTTTATACTCCTGAAGTAGGAACTATTTTAGCTAATTTTATTAGCAAAATTAGGTTTAGCTAATTTTGGTACGGGAGCAGTCTCTGGCTTCAGTCATCCAGGAGGAAGATGCTGGGTTGGCAGTTTCTGTATACATTGTTAATTTTTTCACTCAGTTTAGTGGGAGGTGTTCCCATTGTCCTCTAGCTTCAGTGGCAGAAGGCTGATGCTTCTGTGGGTCTAGGGTATTAATGTCCTTGACTCACAGTAGTGCCATGTCAACAACATGCATCCACCCAGAACATCATTGGCTCCCTCAACATCCAATCAGGGCTTTGTCTTCTCCTCCACACACACACACACACACACACACACACACACACACACACACACACAAAAGCTAATCATCAATATTTCCTATCTGAGAACTTGTAACCCACATTAATGACCTGTCTGACATCAGAGTAAGTCAGGCTTCTGTTGCATTAGTGACATGAATATAACAGGAGTGACAAATCACTTTCTGTTAAGATTTAAGAACTTTTTAAGTTGACACCCATGCCTCTTACTATTTCTGCAAATGATGTCTAGACAGTTTATATGTTTTCAAGAGCCTACCCCTCCTATTCTGCTAAATTGACAGTATTAAACTGACTCTTGCTGACTTATCATTACATCCATAGGTTAATGCATCACTTAAGTCTCATCAGAGAAGCTTATTTTGCAGCAAGCAGCAATTTAAAGAGAGATTCACAGCTTGCCAAGGTTCAGACAATAAGAGACAGTGGAGTTCTCAGCCATATTTGGGACATCTATCTCATACTTTCACCTTTCATGGCTCTTAATTCTTGTAGGAAATTTGGCAAAAAGATTGTAAGAGCCAGACATGGTGGATAATTACTAGGAAACAGTGTTTTCTCAATAGAAAGGGAAAGGTGAGTATGTGAACTAACACAGTTGTGACAGCATGTACTAAATCCACACAAGCCTGACAAAAAATCTCAGCATGGGGAACAGAAGTAGATATGAAGACCTGCTCCTTCTTAGCTGAGGTGCTATTGGTTTTTGACAGATACAGGGAGAGTGCGAGTTAGTTTTTTTTAAAAGGTGTTTCCCTTGTCAAGTTGTCTTGGCTGCAGTGAATGGCCACACATCCAAGAATATATGGGCAGCACAGATTGAACATGGAGAGTGTGGAGAAAATAAAAATAAAATTAAAAAGGGATACAAAGTTCAGTCAGTAGGGTAGGGAGATGTGACAGGAAGAGTTGGCAGAATTAGATAAATAGGATCAAAATATATTGTATGAAATTCTCTAGAAACCATCTCACAAATATTTATAAAACAACATGAAATAAAAGTTTAAATGGATTATGAAGTTAAATGCAAAACATAAAACTTCTATTTCTTCAAAAGTAAAGTAGATGAAATCCTGGTATAATTATAGCATTTTAGATAAAAACCAAATTGAAAAAAGCATTTGTTAATGTCATAGTTTGTTTCTAACTGCCACTCAAAGTGACACGCTAAAGGGCTTATTACCAATTGGTTGCTCCTACTGGGAGCTGGAATCAGCTGATCATGGACTGAATTCTCAGATACTCTAAACATCATCAAGTTTTTCTCCATTAAGCTGATTTTCTCAGATATTTAATTACAGTGATAGGAAACTGACCAGTACCATTTCACTCAATGTAAAAATCTCCGCTCTTTAAAAGGCAAAATGAAGAGAACAGGAAGCTGATTTGTTGGCTTGGAGAAAATATAAAATATGTAATAGAGTAGTGTCATTCAAAACACAAGCAACCTTTAAAAACCAATAGAATGAAATTGAACAGCACACTTGAAGACTGGGTCAAAAATTCTGGTAAGCTCTTCACAAGAATTTACAGATTGATTATAGGTTTAGAAAACATTTCTTTTTTTCTCTTTTTCTTTTTTTACATGATGTGTCATTTTGGAAACTCAAGTGAAAGCAATCAAGAATTATTATTATTATTATTTTTGAGTAACATCTGTGTTCCTAACAATACTCCATGCTTATAAATTCCAATAGGCTAACACCATTTATGAAGACTGGGTTTTCTGAAAAACTATATATTTATGCATATGAATATGCAATCATATCCCTTGGTATTTTCACAAAGGAGTTGCAAAGTAATGTTCACAGAAACATCTGCATACAGGTGGCCTTGAAGCTTTTTCATATTTGCTAAATAAAGTGGAGGTAAATAAGATACCTATTGTGTCCTTGAATCTGAAATGAGCTCCTGTATTTGGACACTTGTGTTCCAGTTGGTGGCGCTGGTGGACATAGAAACAGCTTTTAAGAAAACATTGACTCTAGTTTTACCCACAGTAACTGAAACAGGGTAAGACTGACATCTCTGCCTTCATTGTGTCTGTACTTGGCCTGAAGTCACAGAGGTACGTTATTGTCCGTAACATTTCCTCTTGAGCGGTATTGAATCCCAGAAGAGGAAAACTCAGAGGAATAAACTAATAACCTCTTAGATGAGAATTTTTTATGAGGGCAAGGTTCCATTCCCTGTGATGGGTGAAAAGATGACCAATTTAACAATTATGGGACCACCTTGCAGGGGTGACCACCTTCTAGTTTCTGAGACTTTGATGAATCCATGATGTGCAGAACCACACCAGACCAGGATGGCTCAATCATGCATACATTTTTCTCTCTCTTTGAATCTATATCTCCCATGCTAATACCCTAGTGACAAATTTAAGGACCACTGATTTCCCTGCATGTGTTCATCTCAACATGACCACGTAGAGCAAATATCCTGTATCTTTTCATTTTATTTAAACCATTATATATTTCTTTACCTAGATGCCAAGCTTCTTTGGAAATGCTGTATTCCTGGTTTTCATCCTAACAGCTTTGGTAAGATACTTAGTGTCAAGCTTCACTCTTTACAGATTGACCTTACTTCCTAAAGTGTATAAAGAATATAAAATACTGAATAAAGAATCATGCAAAAGTTAGACAAGACCTTATTTAATCATGTAAAAGTTAGCTCCATCCCTTTGAACTGAAGTCAGGCCAGACCTAGCCAATTCAGATTCCAGGTCATTGTCTCATAAAAGATTACTGTAATTATTTAGTCACGATGAATTATTAAAATCAAAATAGTAAATGAAACTTTAAGTTTTTCCTGCTCCTGAACTTTGTTTGACCCTCCACCAGAGACAGGTTATAACTAACTCTTCTTTTTTCTCTCCTAGCTCAATTCAGGGAAACCAATCTGTAAGTAGTTGATTGGCTCCTATTGGCCTCTTCCTAGTCGTGTCCATCCTCCCATACAAGAAAAACCCTGTTCTGGGCCAGTAATATGGTTCAGTGACTACTCGCCACACAAGCCTGACAACGGGAATTTGAACCCTGGGACCCACATAAACGTCAAAGAAGATAGTCCACAGAGCTGTCCTCTGACCTCCTCTTGTGAGTTGTAGCAAGTATGCTTTCCCCATCATGCAAAAGCCACACATTAACAACAAAACATTACAAATATAAGTAAAGATCCCTTTCCCCATGGCGTTTGTTATGATTATAAGATGTTAGTATTGCATTAGTTTTCTTGTTGCAAATGTCCTTTTATATTTTCTGCAATAAGTTTTCAAAAATGTGGTCTTGATTTTATTTGGTCACACAAATGATCAAGTTAGTTTTTGTTTACCATATGTCTCCATTATCTTCACTAAAATAATTTTAGTTTTATTATTATTGTAAAATTTTTAAGAATATTCAGAAATTTGTACTTACTTTGTCTCCTTAACGTTTGTACTTTGTGAAAATGAGGAAGTTGTTGGGATTGTCCTCTCCTTCTCCCTCCTCCAAATGGCTAGGTTTCACTGTAGGTCTGCTTTCTCCTGCTGTGACAGACAGAGCAGAGGCTAATGTTTTTCCTTCTTGCTCAAGTTATTTCCCTCACCTTTCAGTGACCCTTCTCTTTTGCACAGTATGCTAATGTCTAAGAGTGGCACATGCGTCTTCTCCCTTCACTTCAGATTGCCTTGTCACTTGAAGACATGTAATGTGTTTTTCTGAAAAGAAAATGCATCAACTGGCTCCAGAGGAGAAGGTCTTGGGTCCAACTAAACTTGTGAGAATGCAAGAAACTTTGCTCACAGAGAAAGACAGCCCAGTGAGAAGTTTTTTTATTTATCCTGGGGTTACATAAAAAGTCCTCCACATCACTAACACTTGAAGATGGAAGTCATAGATAGACAGTAAAGTCCGTTTTCTTTGGGGTTGGCTTCATTTCATGTTTTTGGGGGAGCAATTGGCAATGTGAACTTCAGATTCAGTACCAAATTATTTTTGTAGTATCAGCATGTCATAATCACTGTGTTTCTAATGGCTCCTTTAACCTTCCAGCAATTTCTATTTGGTGTTATCTATTCCGTTTTGAACTTACTGTACATCCTGCTTCCCACCTATTCTTCCACTTACCTGTCTCCTTGAGGCAAGTCTGCTGCTCCAGAGAGAAGTGCAGGAAGAGTGTGATCCTTCCAGGAGGAGGCAATGCTGTAGACTGCCAGCTACATCTCTGACAGCGGGCTTTATATAAGGGCAGGGGCAGAATTTACTCTCAGCAGGGCAATCTTCCAAGTCCTCCTTGCTGGGAGGAGTCTTCTGTTATTTCTGTTTATATCATGAGTTGTGTCTCTAGGGAATGCAGAGTACAGTATATAAATAACTAATATTACATAAAAATTAAGGATCTCTTTTTTTTATTTTGGAGTTTGAGGGAAAACCGAAACAGGAAAGACAGCTAGATATCTTAGTAGCTTTTAGGAAGAGGGAGCTAGATGAGAGTAGAAAGCCATGCTTTTTGAATCAGAGGTCACAAAATCAGGCAGGTGCTGGGGGGATAACTCTGTGGATAAAGTGCTGACTATGCAGGATTAGGACCAGTGTACACATCTCCAGAATCCACGTAAATGTTAGGCATAGTAATGGGTGTGTCTGATACCAGCCCATAAGAGACAGCGACAACTAGGAGCAAGGTAACTAGCCAAATTAGCCAGAATTGGTTAGTTCCTAAGGAAAACCATCAGGACTAAGGTTTGGAAGAGGATTTGAGGGGAACACTATTTTCTACAAAGTAGTTAGAAGAGAAATGAGCATTTATCTAAGTGATTATTACTTGCAATGGACTATGCGTTTATAAGTAACTTAAAGGTTTTCCATTTGAGAATATGGTTGGATTGGAAGAAAACTTTAAGCAATTGTAACAAATTTGGACGTTGAAATACCCCACGAAACCTCAACTAATCCTTACGAGAATAATATTTTAAAATACATTCTTTTGAAATTTGGGACCAAAGACCTTTGGTTTCAATGTGAGAATATTTTTCCCTCCACACCTACTTTAGTAGGTGAATTCAGATATTTGTCTATAAGACAGATAACCACTTTTCAAGGGAAAGGGTGTCGATTACCAGGGAGTAAGGAAGGAACTTGACTGTTAGCAAAGGATGCTCTTCCTTGCTTCTTACCAGCATTTGGTCTGGTTATTTCCACAACTATTGTTTAAAGTGGCCATGGGGACTCAACCCACTCCAGGATAGCTGGAGTAAACAGCTTTTGACTTCCATCCTGGCTCCACTGTACACTGCATGCCAGTCTCCACAAACAATAGTGTTGAGGACTGGGGAAGCGTTCCCATGGCCCTGAATATACAGAAAAAGGGACTGTGCCATCAAGTCTTCTGAGTTCATAATTTCAGTGGAGCACAAATTGGGAAATGACAGCACAATAATAGAAAAAAAAAGAAAGAAACCAAAAAAGAAAGAAATAAATAAAAAGGAAAACATCAAAAAAAAAAAAAGCTTGCAAAAAACACTGGTTAATCAACAGACACACAGTTTGCTGACAACTCTCCTTTCACCCATGAATATAAATAAGCATTTATGAGAAATGAACTTTGCCTGAGAAATGAAACTGAAAGTCTGTTCAATAGTGAGGCAGGGCTGGCCTAAACGATAAGAGGAAAATATTAACTGATGTTTTGGCACCTGAACCTACACTAAAGTTCCTACAAGGCTGATTTACTAGAACTCCAATATTTTTGAGAGTTGGAATTCTGTGTGTCACAAGTTATCTTGGGCTATCTTAGCCCCTAAAAACTATATTTTTGCCTGCTTTTGCATTTGTCCTTGTTGCAGGGAGGGGCTGCTTGTTCTTCCGGACCGTGGTTAGCTTAGCCCCAAAATAACCACACAGAAATTGTATTAATTAAAACACTGCTGGGCCCATTTTCTCTAGCCTTTAAGTGGCTAACTCTCACATCTTAATTTAACCCATTTCTATTAATCTGTATATCTCCACGTGGCAGTGGCTTACAGGGAAGGATTCTGCATGTCTGACTCTGGTGGCTCCATGGCGGCTTTCTCATACTCTGCCTTTCTTCCTCCCAGCATTAAGTTCTGTCTTCCCTGCCTGTGTAAGTTCTGCCCTATCAACTAGCCCAAAGCGGTTTCTTTATTCATTAACCAATGAAAGCAACATACAAACAGGAGGACCTCCTACACCATGTTCTAACAACTGTGTAACTGTGAGAGAAGTATTTCAGAAATTAGAAACAAAACCCTAATTTCTATCAACTCAAAGATTAAACAATGTCACCAGATAGGATCTGAGGCCCAAAACAGAGATAACCTCTATGGTATCTCTGTGGGATATAGAAAAAGACAAGATCTCCTGAGTAAAGTGGAAGCATGGAGACCTTGGGAGAGGGTAGAAGGGAAGGGGAGTGGAATGGAGGAGAGAGGATAAAAATACATAGCTCAATAAAATCAATTTTTAAAAATGGGTTACAGAACAGAGAATTCTCAATGGAAGAATATAAAATGGCCAAAAGAAACTTAAGCTGATGGTCAACATCCTAAGTCATCAGGTTAATGCAAATAAAAATGACTCTGAGATACCATCTTACACTCACTACTCAGAACATCTAAGACCAAAAACACCAATGATACCTTTATACTGGAGTAAGGAAAACACTCCTCCATTGCTGTTGGGAATGCAAAATTGTACTACTCTGAAAATCAGTATGGTAGATTCTCATAAAATTAGAAATCAATCTACCTCAGGACCCAGCCATACCCAAATGATGCTCAATCAGACTAAAATTGTTTAACTATGTTCATAGAAACATTATTTGGAATAGCCAGAACCTGGAAACAAACTACATGCCCTCAACTGAAGAATGGATAATGAAAGTGTGGCACATTTACACAAGAGAGTTAGGCTCAGCAGTTAAAAAAAATACATCTTGAAATGTGCATGCAAACAGAAGGAACTAGAAAAAAACCATCTTGAGTGAAGTAACCCACACCCAGAATAATGAATATGGTGTGTACTCACTCATAAGTGAACACTAGCTGTAAAACAAAGGATAAGGAGCCTACAGTTCATGACCTAGAGAAGCTAAGTAACAAGGTGTATCCTAAGAAAAACATATATAGATCCCCTGAAAAGAGGAAATAGACAAGATTGCCTGTCAAAATTGGGAGCATGGGGGTGCGGGCAGAAGGAAATGGTGAAGGGGAAGAGGAGAAGAGAAGCCTATGGGGAGGTGAACTTGAGGGAAAGGGAGTTGAAGGACAGAGACGAGAGCAAGAAAAGAGATATTTGATTGAGGGAGCCATTAGGGGGACTAACAAGACCTGGCTCTAGAGAAATTCCCAGGAATCCACAAAGATGACCCCAGCTAAGACCCTAAACAAAGAGGAGAGGGTGCTGGAAGTAAGCCTACCAGTGTCTGACTAACCATGTAGCAGTTGCAGAGAATGTACATGAGCTGTATGGATATTCAAGAATTCTGTCATGGCCAAACAGGAAATGATCTGGGTTACTGAAGTGTATGTTCTACTGGTGATGGCTATGTTAATGAATGTCACAAACAGTTAGAAATGAAGAAGATAAAAAAATACCTGACATAAATATATTTCTTGGGTGTATTTTCAGTTTTTTTTTTTGTACTAGAAAATATTGTAGGCTTTTAGATACAGGAATGAATCTGAAAAACCTTTATTTTTTTTAGTGTTGTGGCTCAAGCCTGTAATCCTTGCATTTGGGATTTGGGAAACAGAGAAATATGGGAGTCTACAAATCAAGGTCAGCATGAATTAATCATTGAACTCTGTCACACACATTATACTAAGAAAATACTCCAAGATAAATAAATTAAAAGGAAAGAAGAAAATTAATGCTTGTGTTCAGCTACAGGGTTTCTGTTTCTTCTAAGTTTCAGGCTGACTTTCTTTACACTTGGAATTAAAAAATAAAAGTACTTTGTACATATATTCTCCTCCCCCACCCTCCATGTCTCAAGAGATCTAAGAGTTACAGAATGTTGCATTCCAGCAAGAACTGGCCAAAGTCAAGCTTCCTTTTGGTTAGCAGGACTGCTTTTGTATAAACAAAAAACAGAAGGGAGAGGCAATACACAGAGGTAACATTTAGGTGTTAACCATGTAACACAGCTCTGGATAGAAGTGGCATCTGTTCCCTGGAAAACTTGGAGAGATTGCAGATGGCTCTTTATCCCAGATGCTCCCTGAGATGAAAGAGAACATTTTCTTCTGTCCCCCAGGGTTCAAAGCATAGTCAGACTAATGTGCTAGGACATGCCCAAAGGATTATTGCTAGTAATGGAGGCTGTGCCACTCATATAAACAGGTGAAAGTTCTGAGATTACACAACAGCAAAGCATAACAGCAGAACAGAGCAGAGAGGAAAGGGTTCTCCAAGCCAGAGGCCACAGAGTCTGTGTCCTGGGTTGGAATGTAAAACAGACTACAAAGCACATCTGAAGTTTTTAAAATTCATTTTTCATTCCATCCACAGTTTCCCTCTCCCACCTTCTCCCTCATTTCCTATCCACTCCTCAAAGAGGGTAAGGCCTCCCGTGGGCATCAACTAAGCCTGGCAAATCTAGTTGAGACAGGACCAAGTCCTTCCTTCATTCCTCTTCTCCCCCACTGGGCATCAAGGCTCTGCAAGGTATCACACCATAGGGAATGCCAGAGGCAAAGAAGCTTTAACACAGGAATGAAAACCAGAAAGTGAGTGACCTCAGATTGTTATATATGTGAAAGCTTTCTGGGTTTTCAGGGATCCAGGAAATGGGAAAGCACCCAAATGCAATCATTTTGCATCCAGGAGTCGTTTTTTCAGACCTGGAATTCTAGGGCCCTCCAGTCCCAAGCTGCAGGAGGACATCTAGGTAATTTCTATTAGATAGAAAGTGTCAGTGCTGTCCTGTCACACACATTACTAGAGCATCAGTCCTTTTGCTAGTGTTCTTTGATTTAATTTTATCATATATATAAAATATCAAGGTTAATGAAATCCAAAGTCTATACACATCTTTAAACTTTTGTACAGTCAGAATGTGCTTTATGAAGCTATGGGTCTTCACATCAGATTTCACACTTTCACTGATAATTACGTTTTGATTCACATGTCCACCACAACCACCAACAAAATCCACCACAGTGTTAGGATAAGAAAAACAATCTTGATATTCAACTTGATATTGTCTTTCATAACTTACTATTACCTCCATCAGTCCTTTCTCATCTTCTAATATTCAGTCTTTCTTCTGATTTTTTTTAGAAGTTATACTATTCCCACATGTTATAAGTGATGCATATAAGGTAGAAAATGAAGTTTTTTTTTCCTGATATTGCATGACCTCACATTTTAAGTTCATCATTTTGGTGAACTGTGCTTATTGTATTTTTCTTCTGAATATTATTCATGTCTATCTGTCTATGTGCCTGCCTATCTATCTATCTATCTATCTATCTATCTATCTATATATCTATCTATCTATCTTTAATCTATCTATGGCTTTTATTATCTATTCACCTGTTGAAGGACATATTGATTCCAGTTTTTTTCCCTAGTGAATA